CTGGGTCTCCCATGTAGATGCAGGTGACCAATGACTTGGGCCACCTTCCACTGCTTTCCCAGGCACATTAGCAGGGAGCTGGATGGAAAGTGGGTCAGCTGGGACTCTAACTGGCACCCATCAGGGTGCTGGAAGTTCACCACCTCCCTTAGGTGCAGGCATTGTGGTGCAGCATGTTAAACCACCACTTGTAATGGCAACATCCCATATCAGAGTGAGGATTCAAGTGTCAGCTGCTATGGTTCTGTTCCAAATCCCGGCTAAAGTGCCTGGGAAGGCAGCAGATGGTGACCAATACTTGGGTCCCGGCCACCTACATGAGAGACTTGGCTCCTGGTTTTGGCCTGGGCCAGACTTGGCTTTTGAGGCCATTTGGGAGTGAACCAGAGGATGGGAAAGCTCTTTCTCTCTCACACACACTCATGGACATGCTCTTCCTTTCAAATAAATATATAAAACTTTTTTCTTAAGTTCACCACCTCCCAACATGGCCACACTGAGGAGCAAGCCTCCAAAATATGCATCCTTGGGAAACAAATCACAGCCAAACCATAGCAAGGTCTTTACTGAAAAGGTTCCATTTGAGGTAGGAGGAAAGGAGTTTCAAAATCCACTGGTCCTGTGATTCCTCTGGGGACTTGAGCTTGCTCTCAGTTTCTGCAGATCATGTCAGCAACTCAACCTGCTTCCTTGCAGGAATTTAGCCAAATTTTTATGAGATTTTTCTGTTTTTTTTTTTTAATTGGGAAGTTTTTTTAAACTTTTATTTAATGAATATAAGTTTCCAAAGTACAGCTTATGGATTACAATGGCTTCCCCCCAATAACTTCCTTCCCACCCTCAACCCTCCCCTTTTCCGCTCCCTCTCCCCTTCCATTCACATCAAGATTCATTTTCGTTTCTCTTTATATGCAGAAGATCAGTTTAGCATATATTAAGTAAAGATTTCAACAGTTTGCACCCACATAGAAACACAAAGTGAAAAATACTGTTTGAGTACTAGTTATAGCATTAAATCACAATGTACAGCACACTAAGGACAAAGATCCTACATGAGGAGTAAGTGCACAGTGACTCCTGTTGTTGACTTAACAAATTGACACTCTTGTTTATGGCCTCAGTAATCACCCTAGGCTCTTGTCATGAGCTGCCAAGGCTATGGAAGCCCCTTGAGTTCACTGACTCTGATCATATTTAGACAAGGCCATGGTCAAAGTGGAAGTTCTCTCCTCCCTTCAGAGAAAGGTACCTCCTTCTTTGATGACCTGTTCTTTCCAATGGGATCTCACTCGCAGAGATCTTTCATTTAGGTTTTTTTTTCCCCAGAGTGTCTTGGCTTTCCATGCCTGAAATACTCTCATGGGCTTTTCAGCCAGATCCACATGCCTTAAGGGCTGATTCTGAGGCCAGAGTGTTGTTTAGGACATCTGCCATTCTATGGGTCTGCTGTGTATCTCACTTCCCATGTTGGATCATTCTCTCCCTTTTTGATTCTATCAGCTAGTATTTGCAGATACTAGTCTTGTTTATGTGCTCCCTTTATCTCTTAGTCCTATCATTATGATCAATTGTGAACAGAAATTGATCACTGGGACTAGTGAGATGGCATTGGTACATGCCACATTGATGGGATTGAATTGGAATCCCCTGGTATGTTTCTAACTCTACCGTTTGAGGTAAGTCAGCTTGAACATGTCCCGAATTGCACAACTCTTTTTAAAAGCTAAATTCACTCAAAAACCGGATACTTCAGTGTATCTTTCTCACTGTAGGGAGAGAAGTGAACATAATGGTGTTCCTCTGAGGAACAAAAAGGGGAGCCTGGTGGTGCTGCATGAGCCCATGTGAAAACTAAGCCCATGCTTGTTGCATTAACAAAACAGAGACCACGAAAAGGAATAGCGTCCTCAGCAGTGACATCTGCTCTCCAGCCAGAGATCGGGAGTAGCTGGACATCCCGCATGTAGTGCATTTATTGGTTGTGTCAGTGTCTCCTAGCATCAACACAATGGACATTTTGGGTCAGAGCATTCTTTCTTGTGGGGGACTGTCCTGTGCATTGTAGGATACCCATGAGTTCCCTGAACTCTACTATAGTTAGGAGCACCCACACACTCTTGGGACAGCCAAAAATGTCACCTGAAGGGTAAAATCATTCCCATTTTAGGACTACTGGATTAAATCAGTGACATTACTTTGAAGAGGCAGGATGCTTAGTAGATGTCCTGATTGCTAGTAGCTGTGGGAAGACACATATTCCTGAGAGAATTGAAAGACAGTCCTGCATGGCCTGCTCAGAGGTGGCTCATTGGTGTGGAAGTGGTGCCTTCTTCCAGAATCAAATAAATACACTGGGTCTGTGACCTCTACATGGTGCTGCATCTCCACAGGAAAAAACATGGGTTTGAGAACCAGGAAAAGAAGAAGCAAGAGAGGCCATACTCATCATCGCTCTCAATTATGCCCTTAAGATTTTTGTCCTTCTTCTCTTGGGGTTCTGTGGAGAAACAGGATAAGCACCACTCTGGATGCCTGTAACCAATACTGAAGTACCTGGTTCAAGTTCCAGCTAAACCATACTTCAGTTCAGCTTCCTGCTAATGATCCTGGGAGGCAGCAGATGATGGCCCAGGTCCATGGGCCCCTGCCACCCACATGGGAGACTTGGATGGAATTTCTAGGTTCTGGTTTTGGCTTTGCCCAGCTCTGGCTGTAGTAGGCATTTGGAGAGAGCACTCGTGAATGGAACATCTCTATATATAGCCCCACCTTTCTTCCTCCCTCCTTTCCCTGCCCTGTCATTCTGCCTTTCAAATCAATCAACAAATCTTTTGTTTTAAAAAAGATTTGTCATGTTCAGCAAAAGTCACATTAAACTATAAGCAATGTGGACACTTTGTATTCCAGAAACCCACAAGCATGAAGAGCCATCTCTTCCAGTTTAATGGAGCCCGGTTGGTACCAGGAAGCAGGACTGCTGTTCAGCAGCGGGGGTACCAGGTACACCTGTGGGACTCGACTTGGTCATCTCTGGCCTCTCCTGTGCCCAGCTGTAACTGTGAATGTGCAAATGAAACAACCCCAGCCCTTCACAAAGACTGTGGCTACCAGGGACTCTGATCCCTCAGGAAGGAGGATTTTGGTCACACCAGTGAGGAAGCACCAAGAGCATTAGTGGGAACTGAAAGGGAGGAGAATAGAGAACATACAGTGAAGGAGAAAGGCAGTGAACTCCAGTCGCAGCCCACGAGGGGACCTGACAACGGAGCGCAAGTTCACCCTAGAAACCCTCCGCTTTCAGTTTCCCCACAGGGAGTGTGGAATCCTGAAGGAATGGCTCCTCAAATGTCTGTGGAGATGTGGATGTGTGTGGAGCCTGCCAGCCAGCTACGGCACCCAGGAAAGTGTAGCACTCCTGAAGGTTCTCCTGTGAAGTAGAAGTTGCCGTTCAGCAACAGGGAGAGCAGGGAGCCTCCAGCTGGAACATTTCCAGGAGTCAGTTCAGCTTCTGAGCCCAAGTTATGCTCTCCCCAGGGAGTTCCTGGCCTTAATGCTGAGCACAGCAAAGCTTCTAGTGTCTGCTCAATGCAGTACTTGGCCAGGGAACTCCCTACTGAGCTGGTGCAACTTTGTCAAATGGGAGGCTCTCCTGCCCCTCCCCACTTTCCCTTTGCAGGTGTCAGGCCTACATCACAGACCAAAGGCTTTCCTTGCCCAGTTCCGCTTCTCCTTCCTTTGTCTTTCAAGGGCACTGATCACCACCAATCCTCTTTCTGTCCTAACTCACTTAGCATATACTTCTTGGAGCAACTGGCACCACAGTACTGTCACCTCATTCAACAGCAGACCTAAATTAAACAGCAATGTGTTTTTATGCTGCCTGTGAGAAGGTGCCACTTTACTTTGTAACCCACACGTCTCCACCTCATGCAGGCTCCAGGGTAGCCTGCTTAGCCCTGGGTAGCACATTTGGATTTGTTCCTTCCTTTAGACAGAAGGGAAGTTTTGGAAAGTGTAGAAGGACAGGGGGAGGCACAGAATGCCTTCCAGACTTATTCCTCCCATGTTTCTTGTTCTAATCCAGTTACATTTCTTTTCCCTTGCTGTAATAAATTGTCCAGAAGAGAGGGCCCTGAGCTGGCAAAAGCCTGCCATCCCCATTGCTGTCACCCAACCTAAAGGTCCTCAGGCAACAAAGTTGCAAAAACCTCACCTGACGGATGTCCTAAATAGCACTCTGGCCTCAGAATCAGCCCTTAAGGCATTCGGATCTGGCTGAAGAGCCCATGAGAGTATTTTAGGTATGGGAAGCCAAGACACTCTGGCAAAAAAAAAAAAAAAAAAAAAAAAAAAAAAACCTAATTGAAAGATCTCTGTAAGTGAGATCCAAGTGGAAATAATGGGCCATCAAAGAAGGAGGTACCTTTCTCTGAAGGGAGGAGAGAATTTCTACTTTAACTATGACCTTGCCTAAATAAGATCAGAGTTAGCAAACTAAAAAGGCTTCCATTACCTTGGCAACTCATGACAAGAGCCTAGGGTGATTACTGACGCCATAAACAAAAGTGTCAATTGTTAAGTCAACAACAGGAGTCACTGTGCACTTACTCCTCATGTAGGATCTCTGTCCCTAATGTGTTGTACAATGTAAATTAATGCTATAACTAGTACTCAAACAGTACTTTACACTTTGTGTTTCTGTGTGGGTGCAAACTGTTGAAATCTTTACTTAATATATACTAAATTGATCTTCTGTATATAAAGATAATTGAAAATGAATCTTGATGTGAATGGAATGGGAAAGGGATCAGGAGATGGCAGGGTTGTGGGTGGAAGGGGAGTTATTGGGGGGAAAAGCCACTGTAATCCATAAGCTGTACTTTGGAAATTTATATTTATTAAATAAAAATTTAAAAAAACCCTCACCTGAGTCAAGATATTTAACATCACAATTCCCTGTTCATGGAGGTGTACTCTTTCCATAAATCAGAAAAAATAGGAGTCAGAAGAATGTTAATTTATAATAGAGCTCATTTTTATTATTTGATTCAAATGAATGTATTTACACAATCATTTTCTAGAAGTTATTATGTGAAGGGTTGGGGAGCATCCAAAAGGGATTAATCATGAGAGTCTATTCCTATAAATGAGTTAATCTTGAAGATAGCCTGATATTGTTGGGAAGAAAAACAGGTGACATAGATCCTGTCCTCAGGTATGTATAGAGTGGTTGATGCTGAAAACATCAGAGAAAATTACATAGTTTTCACCTCACATCTCATCCACACCAAGCTTCTCCCAATAGAATCTGCTCAGCCCTTGATAAAGCACCACCATGTTGGCAATCAAGTGCAAGTTTGATAGTGGAATTCCAAGGTCAGTGGAGCTAAGGGAGCCAGATGGAATGAAGCTAGCAAGTTGATGTCCACCAGGAACTCCTGGGCTTCTTGACAGGAGATTCAATACACCTCTAATGTGTTTAGCCCATTATTATCTGAAGGGAATACAAAAGAGTTTTTAGTAACCTTACCTAGAGAAAATCTAGAATTACACTTAGGTTATTAGAACCCTAACTGGAGAATTGGTTCTCTAATCATGGTAATTTTATTGTGCTGGTGACTTTTCTTATAGTCTATTTCAATGTGATGCTGATCAATACAGTCTCAAAAGATTCACACCCATTTCCACAAGCAGTGGAAGACTGTGTCCCACTTTACATGCAGGTATGCAATAAGAAGAACACTAAGAGATAGTCACCACATGAGGAAAGAAACTCACTGGCCCCAAGGAGCCAGTGAGGATACACAGGACATCATGGAACCAGCAGGCTTGCAAGACAGCCCTGGACATCCCAGATGTCCTGCATTGTTGGACAGTGCCTATGACCCAGGAGTGTGCTGGATATTGCCCTGATCTATGTATCTGGATTCCCTGGTTTTTGTGTAGCTATGTGTATTCTGACTCCCTAGTTGTCTCTGCCTTGGCCATGGGTCTGTCCTGACTCCAAGCTACCTACATAGGAAAGGTGATTCTTGTGAGCTGGCCTGACCCTCAGTATTAGTCTAATTTTGAAACATTTTTTTCAGGTTTCTGTATTTTATTCCCCCTTTCTTCTTTACAGTCCCCTAATACCTGCCTCAGCCACATAGGTAGTTGTATCCTCTGAATAGCTGCAGCATCACAGCCTAGGATGCAGTTCTCTTTCAAGCACTGAAAGTCATGGACTCCCCTGCCATCCTGACAGTTCTACCCCACCCTCCCCTCTTTAACTTCTGGATGCTTCTACCTTGCAGAGACACCAGGCACTTCAGCTACCTACTTTAACAGATCTTTCAGACTACTTATTAATGTTTGGAGACTGTGCCTTTGCTGGGCATTTTTAATGCGCTTGCTTATATCCTTCCAGGTATGAGGATACTCATGTCCTCCAAGACTTCTCCTCAGGTCATTGGCCATTGTCAAAAGAGCATTCATCTGTTCTTCCTGGGCTTGGCCAGTCTCTTTGTTATTAAAAGCACAAACTCGCCACCCACTTTTTCTAAGTACATTCCTAAGGGCTTTGTTTTCTGTGTTCCGGACATAATCATCAATAGTCCCAGATGCAAGATCTTCCTTCCGCGTGAACAGCACAATCGTGTATTTCATGACATCCTCCCCAAAGATGGCCTCTAGTTTTTCCACTGCTCTTTTGTCCTCTTCAGTGAATTGTCCCAGCTGGAACACCAGCACCAGAATGATGGCTCCTTCTTCACAGCAGAACAAACAGCGCTGGACCTCTTCCTCTGGCCAGGATGAGTCCTTTCCCTTACTGGGCATCTGGAAGAGTGAGGGTGTGTCCACAACCACAATGTCCTGCCAGTCCAACGTCCTCCTGCTGCTCTGGCACTTCTTGGTGACTGCCTGGGGTTGCAGTTGAGAGAGGAAGACGGGGCTGCCCAGGAGAGTGTTCCCAGTTGCACTCTTCCCAACTCCACTCCGTCCCACTAGGATAATGTTCAGGGTTTCTGTAGAAAGGAAATCAGGAGATTCGTGAGCATGGTCTGAAATGGAGTCTGACATCCAAAGTTATTCCCTATAACGCAAAGCTATCAAGCATGGAGGATGCCCAGACAGCATCAAGGCCTCCTCCAACCAGACAGGTTGATCCCCACACATGTGGGTGGTGCCCCAGGTCCCTGAGTCAGCATCAGGACATGGATTCCAGTCTCTCTCCAGTGCTCACCATTGAACACGCTGTGGATCCTATCTGTGAATCTTCTCTGATCTTAATTTCTAAGACTTTTTCTGGCTCCACTCTACCTGAGAGTTTCACTGACCTTATTCTCCATTCCTTGCACTGGGTCAAGTCTACAAATCTAATCCCTTCATCTTCTATCAATGATTATGTCTTCCCATTGCCAACTGATGTTAATTATAGCAAAATCCCCCTGGGTGTTTGAGAAATTGTTAAAATTGAATGAATTGGATTTTCTTGCAAAAGTAACCACATATATCATCAATGGTTCATCAGTTTCCTTAGTTGTATCACATTAAAAATTCATTTCTCATTAAAGCCACATTGCACTTACTTGATGAGTCAGAAGTCACATCATGGTTTAATTACTAATATCCTCTAACACTGTTGTGTATGGTGTCAGTGATGGAGAAGAATAAGTTTACCTTTAAATGAAATTTACAGAGGCACTGAGAACTTATGACATACATTCTTCGGGATTTTTCCTACGCCTTCACACTTGTTCTACAATGGTCCATTGAACATTCTTTCATACCAGTGCTTTCCCATAATAAATTCTTCTTAAGAGTATAAATATCCACCTCAAAACAAAGGAGGAGTGTCATCCCATGCTCTTCTAACTATGGCAAATTGTTCAATTAATTATCCTGATCCACAATCTCACAGTTATATTTATAGGATAAGAACAGGATCAATTATTTGACATCTCCATGTTTTTCAGGATTTCAGTTATCACATTGTGCCTACAGATGATCTGGCCTCAATTATATCTGAAATCTGGTGTAGACTCTTCATCCCACAGTATCTAGAATAATGAACCTCCGTTTCCTTCAACCTTCCTCTTGTCTACTCACAACTGCCACGCTCCATCAGTTTCACTCTCCTGCTTCAAATTGCTAGTGCACTCTGGAATGTCTTCCAACTTTGAACTCAGCCATGCAACTCACTATCCCACCTCCAAATCTCTTTCAAATTGAGCTCTCCTTGCACAACCTCTCTTGACATTCCCACATATCTATACTTTGAGGAGATGCCCTAGTGCCTGACCCTCCATGAAGAGTATTAAAAGGCTCAGTAAACTGAATCTCCTTTGGGTTTGATGTTCTTTCTGGGTGAGGGTATTTGAAGCAGAAGATAAGAGGATAGGAAGAATGGGACAGTTGTCAACTCAGGTTAATGGAATATGTAGCACTGAGTGGATAAGGAGTCATTCAGTAGTAGAGAGGGAAGAGCGGCTGGGCTACTAAAACCCATTCCGTACCACATGGAACCATCCACTGTGAGCATTCAGGTTCCCTGCCCTGTTCAGTCTCTGGGTTATAAGCATCCAAGTACCTTAGAATGCTAAGTGTCACAGCCACTTACACTTTCTTTCAGATGACCTCCCACTTCCAACAGAGAGAAAAGCAAAGAACCTAGAGAGTGGTTGACCTAAAAAGAATCAGTGGAATAAACCAATGACATAAGACTATCTCACCACAATCACTAAAATGGCAAGCCCTGAGCAAGGGTACACTGTGGAGAACACAAGATATCAGAAACAGTCAACAAACTCCCTAAAGGCCCTTACTATCCAGCTGAAGCAATCGCATGAGGGTCATGGCAGATTTAAAGATGAGTTCTGGGAGGGTACGCAAAGGTCACAACTTTAGTACAATTTGAGGAAGAAAGAGAAAAAAGAGTTAGTCATAGGAATGCCCGATCCTATGTTCTCATGCCTTTCAGAAAATGAAAATTCCCTGCATCATCTGTACAGAAATGTTTTCTGTCTGCAGTTTCACCTTGTTTTCTGAAGACACAAGGCTTGCTTGCCTTCTGGTGCACCATCCTCTGGATTTTGTGCAGGAGCTCGTCTACCTGCCTCTGCTCCTCTTGCCCCGTTGCCCGGTAATTAAAGGTGCTATATCTGAATTCACACTTCTGGAGGAGCTCATAGAGAGCTCCATCTCCTCTTCTTAAGAACACATCCAGATCCTGATCCCCTAAATCTTCTATCCTGGTGAGGAGAATGATCGTGTATTCGATGAAGTTTTCTCCAAAACATCTTCGGATGGTATTTAGCACGGCCTTGTCTTTCTCGGTGTAGGAGCCCAGTGGGACCACCAGCAGGAAGGCATGGGGTCCTGGAAAGGTGTGCTTCCTGAGCTCTGATTCAACATCCCTGGAGGATGAGATGTCCGGAGCATCAATGATCAAAACTTCCTTCTCTCTCCAGATTCTTCTCTCAGATCTGAACCTCTGGGTTACAGGCTCTTCACTGAAACGAGTCTCAAAGATCCGCTTCCCCAGAATACTGTTTCCTGCTGCACTTTTTCCAACACCACGCTTCCCAAGGAGGAGAACCTTCAGTTCTGAGGCCTCTGGGTCCTGCTCAGATCCTGTGGCCTGAAGTTGCCTCTCTTCTGGGCCTGTAGACAAAGGGACACATTGAGAGCCAATTCCTGAAGGTGAATGTGGGTGTGGACAGGTTTTATGGTTCCTCAACTCTGACGATTCTTACAGAGAATGGCACTGGCTCTGAACCAATAGAACTCAAGGCCCAGAGAGAAGCTGTCCCTTAAGGTAAAGCCCACAAACTGGGCTTGGTTTTCCCACAGTTATGAACCTGCTACATTTTACATTAATCAGGCTTGAGCCTTAGGGCTCCTTTCATTTTGTATCTGATTTTAAAATTCATAAAATATATATTCATTAAATAAGATTATACTCAACAACTTGGACATCTGATGATCTTATGACTTGATTTTTCTTTAGAGCATTTGGTGATACTCTTGTGGAGTAGTGGTCTTTCTATTTTTTTACTGCTTCAATATTATGGTGTGTAGTGTATTAAGCCTGTTATTATAAAGTTAATTGAAATTATGTTAGAGTGGAGAGTGGGATGGAGGGAAGTATGGTTATCTTTTTAGAATTTTATCTATAAAATATATGAAATTGTTTTCTTTATATTAATAAAAAATTTAAAAAGAGTAAACCAGTGAACTGTAGATATAAAATGTGTATGAATTTCAAATTTGGTAAGTAGAAGAAGCCAGACACAAAACTGCATACCATCACATGGCATTAAGAACAGGCAACATTGTTCTATCTTGATAGGAGTCTGAACAGTGCTTTTCTTTGGGAATGTGTAGTATGAACTGTTAATGCGATGGATATTCTTGATCCTTTATATCTTTAACTAGGGTGTCATCTTTATGTATAGTTGGAAAAATCATTAGTCTTATTATTTAATAATTGTGCATTTTTCTCTAGATAAATTTCGCCTCAATTAATTGGTGTAAAAATCTGCAAACCTCACCCTAAAACTATCTCTGCACACATCCCAGGCATCTACTACTTGTCCTGTGAGTCAAGGTTGACAATAGAGCTATGTACTGATAAAAAGATCAGATTATCAGCTACAATGAACACTCACTGAATCTAAGTCAAAAAGGGCACACTTGGGAAAGGATTGTTACTCAATTTCCAAGCGGTACCAGGGAGGTGGAATAGACACAGCATGTAAAGCAATGCAGAGCAGCTCAAACGCTAGTGACACCAGTGTTTATGTTGCTTTGGACAAGTAGTACTCCCTGTGAATCTCAGATCACACACTGGAAGAGGGAGAACATCGAAGCTCATGCCATAGAGCTGGTGAATCGTCTAAAGGGGAGAGCGTGTGTAAAGGCTCTGGTACCATAACTGACAGAGAGGAGTGTCCACAGACGGCTAATGGGTAAGGAGGAGCTTAAGTTGAGCCTTAGAGCTCCCCTTCCTCTCTCTCACACTCCCCCTTTCATCTCTCAGCCTTCAGGATTCTGGCACATACAATAGTATCTTCCTTACTCTTTAGCCTATAAAACTCCTGCTGGTCATTTAGGCTCCTGAGTAAACATGGCATCTTCACAGGAGCTTCCCCTATATTCTGCATATTAGATGCCATGTATTTTCCTTTAAGGCTCTGACCAAATAACCATTCATTATTTCTCCAATATTGGCTCCTGTCAGTACAGGAGAGACATTGTTGTGTAATGGTTAGAAGTATGCACTGAGAAGTAAAAAGATAACCCCTGAGAAACAGGAGTGGTCTGTCAATCACAGTTAGGAAGTGGTACCCTCCTATTCATAGCAGCATGTCACAGCATAACAGATGTGAGCACTCTGTGGCTACAGCCACTCCACAATCCTGTCCTGACACGGCAAAAACAAGAGTATTGCCAAAACATCCCCTCTCCTGTCTGAAGGGACCACACTGACTTCCTGACAGCTCTAGCCCACTTTGAATCACCATTAAAGCAAGAATTACTAATGAATCAGACCAACATTCTGCTGCTATGAACATTCTTCAAAAACAGCTAACAAGTCCATATCCTGTGACAAACCCTCCCCAATACCCTCGGTCTGAGGTGCCTGGAACAGCTTGAGGAATTTTCACCAAAAGCAGAAGTTTAGTCTCCAAAGCCTTATGGTATCATGCAAATTGATTAGACACTCATTCACATTACTTTGTTTAGAGGTGGGGGCCTTTGAGATGTGATCAGACTGCATTAGGCTGCTAGGGTGAAGTCTCCAGTAGTAAAACCTGGTGACTCTTAAGAAGCCATGGGTACACAGACACCTGCTCTCCCTGTCTCTTGCCGTGTGATGCTGTGCCACCTCTGGACTCTGCCAGTAAGAATGCCATCACCAGAAGTCAAGCCTGTGGGACCCCCTTGATCTGCACTGTTAAAGTTACTCTGTTTCACTTCTGTTACACTAATGAAAAGCTGACTAATGCAGTGACCTACAATTCCCGATGGTCTGTTGTGCTCCATCTGGAGTCAATAAATGAAATTTTTTTCAGTAATAAAGGGTCTTGGCTGATGGACATCGACAGAATTTTTAAGTCCTACTGTCTGAGTTCATATATCTATAAATCAAGGATGTTGATAGAAGACACAGTTTATTATGAGAACTAATATATAGGAGGCCATTTCTTTTCTTTTTTTAAAGATTTATTTATTTGGAAGTCAGAGTTACACACAGAGAGAAAGAGAGGCACAGAAGAGAGAGAGAGAGAGAGAGAGAGAGAGAGAGAGAGTCTTCCATCTGCTACTTCACTCCCTAATTGGCCGCAATGGCCAGATTGTGCTGATCTGAAGCCAGGAGCCAGGAGCTAAGGAGTTTCCTCTAACTCTTCATGGAGGTTCAGGGGTCCAAGAACTTGGCTCAGCTTCCACTGCCTTCCCAGGCCATAGCAGAGAGCTGGGTAGGAAGTGGAACAGCCGAGACTAGAACCAGTGCCCATATGAGATCCTGGCGCTGCAGGTGGTGGCTTTACCTGCTATGCCACACTACGCTATTTCAAAAAAGCTTTGGTGAAATTAGATTACAGATAAGTTTATTTTATGCAGCTGGTATTATGGCAGAATTGGTTAAGCCACTGCCTACTGGTTCCAGTCCCAACTGCTCTGCTTCCAATCCAGCTCCCTGCTGATGCACCCAGGAAAGAAGAAGCTGATAGCCCAAGTACTTGGGACTCTGTACTCGGCACTCATATGGGAAACCTGGATAGAGTTCCAGGCTCCTGGCTTCAGCCTGGCCCGGCCCTAGTCATGGCAGCCATTTGGGGAATGAATCAGCAAATAAAAGCTCTCTCTCTCTCTCTCTCTCTCTCTCTCTCTGTGTGTGTGTGTGTGTCTCCCTCCCTCTGTCTCTCTCGCTTTCATTCTATCCCTTTGTCTGTGAAGCTTCCTTCAAAAATATAAAAAATATAAATCTTTTCAAAAGTATGTTATTTTAGTGCATTTTTTCAAATGCCTACATTTTTCTCATAGTGGACATTTTTTTTGTTTTTTTTTCTTTTATTAAAAAAATTATTTAAGCTATACAAATTTCATTTATTTCATATATACAGATTTTGGAGCATAGTGCCATTTCCCCCATTCCCTTCCTCCTGCCCACACTCCAACCCTTCTTCCTCCTCCCTCTCACATTCCCACTCTTAGTTTTTACAAAGATCTAGTTTCAGTTTACTTAATGATCATACAGCTATCCGTACACTAAGTAAAAAATTTCAGGAGTGTTTTGAGGACCACTGATATCTATGACTTTTCATGCTGTGAGAATTAAATTACGTAGTTAATTTACATCATATACTAGCACATTACCTCAGCTACAATTATTATCAATGTTATTAAAATTATAACTTTATTATCTTGGAGCATTCCATGGGGACAGAGACTATGTCTTTTATTCACTGATGAATACTCAGTTGTGGCACAAGGTGGCGGAAATAACCTGAAAGTCCACCCTTAATGATGGCTGCATTTGTTGCATGTGTCTGACACACTGTGGGACAAATAGCATCTACCAAGCAGAACGGGGTGGATCCAGGTACTGGCTTGTGCAGATGTACTAGATGTATCATTAATGGTGATCACCACATGGACACTGCTACTTCAGGGAATCCCACGAGTTGGTGCTGTCCATGAAGGAGTGATTTCTGCTTTCCCATCACAAGGCAAAACTAGCATAGAACAAGGGGTAGGCAGTTGCCACAACAATTATGATACTGCTTGGGATGCCCACACTCAATAGCAGAGTGCTTGGGTTTCAATCCTGGCTATACTTCTGATTCCAACATCCTGCTAATGTTCACCCTGGGAGGCAGCAGGTGATGGTTCTAGTACTTGGGTTGGTTCTAGTACTTCCACCCACATGGGAGACTCAGGTTGAATTTCAGACTCCTGGCTTCAACATAATCCAGCCACAGCTAGTGTGGACATTTGGGGAGTGCACCAGTAGATGGAGGCTCTCTCTGTCTCTGTATCTCCCTGGCTTTCAAATGAAATGAAAAATAAATAAACACAAATTTTTTAACATGGGTAGTGCTAGATCCAAGGCCCAGTAGAACAGGTTGAATTAGGAAAGAAAGCACAGGTGGCCAGCCCAGCTCCATAACATATCAGAGAAGGCCATGAACACCTGCAGTGTTTCCAGAGCCTTCATTGACGCTTTACCAACTCACAAGTGCTGGGAATTCCCTGGGGAAAGGTGTCAGCACCCACCTACGCTAGGTCTAATGATGGATTTTTGTTCTGAGTTATAGAAATAATTTTTTCTCTTCACTTTGGCTGCTTAACACATTTAAATGAATGCAGATTTGAGCTTAATATTTTAAAGAATCAACTTACCATGTGGATGGTCCCCCTCCTGAGGTGGGGCTTCATTCATAAAATCCTACAAGAAAAAGGGGAAATGAGTACCACAGATTTGAAATCTCATCTTTCACAAAGAGAAGAAATGGAGACACAAACACTCATATACAGTAATTCAGAGTAAGCAACTGATTAAGATGTGGTCAAATCAAAGCCATGGTGATGCCCTCACTGGGACACAAAGTCACCTGTCCAGAATTTTAGATCCTAGGGATGTCACTGTGACAAGTTCCAGGAGATGCAGATACCTCCAATATCTTCTTCCCTCGCTGTCTTCACTGTGGATGTGAGTATCTTCTAACATGATGTTCAGAATATTTGGAAACCCCATTCTCTAACAGAAGCAGCAGGATAGAGTGCCAAACATATAACTGACACCCCTCCTTCTGCCTGGTGGATTGTTATACTCACTCCCCAAATAGAAATGATGATACACACCCTTGATGTGCCTGCTATCTTTAGAAGCTTCATAGACTTCACTTTAACTTTCTCTCTTAAATCTCAGTGCTACCCAATGAAGCTCCTCTGTGCTTTTTATATCTTGTCTTGCACAATATTTTTGATAGCTTCAGTTATCTGTCTCCATGGGTCTTTTCTATTCTACTCGATTATCAGAATTTTTTCACCTTACATAGTTCACTTTGAATTCTTTGGTGTTCTTTAAATGCAAAACATGTTCTAATGTCAATGTGTAAGATTTAAAAATCAATAACCTTCCCATCTCCAATCCACTGAGACAGTAATGGCTGTGAACTGATACATATCCTTCTATGCTTTTCCAGGCTTTATATACAAACACATATGAAGATACAAAGCCTTTTGTTCTGAAATCTACTTAATAAAATATCTTGGTCATTTATCCATTTAGCTGTTGCTTATAGCAATTATGTGCATTCCCACTAAACTAGGGTCTTTTTGCTTTTTAATTGTTAAACTTATTATTTGATCAGCTATCGGACTTTTTACTGTAACATAAATTTAGAAGATGTTATCTCAAATACTAAAAAAAAGAAAGAAAGATGGAAGAGACAGCAAGATGGAGAAAGGGAATATCATTATATTTTTAGAATTGTATCTATTAACTATATTGAATCTGTTAAAACTATGAGAAGCAATGACTTGATCAGTCCTTGTCCTGCCTTTTGAGGAACAACTGACTATTTTATTCCTTTTAGTATTTTTTTGTTCTACTTAATACCATTGGTTGAACTCTTTAATTAACACACAATTATTCTAGGGATTTAAATATAACTGAAAAGTGATCCCTGTTAAATATAAGAGTGGGAATAAGAGAGGGAGGAGATGTACAGTTTGGCACATGCTCATTCGAACTTACCCCTAATGGTAGAGCTAGAATCGTGCCAGGGGATTCCAATTCAATCCCATCAAAGTGGCATGTACCAATGCCATCTCACTAGTCAAAGTGATCAGTCTCAGTTCATAATTGATCATAAAGATAGGATTAAGTGTCAAAAGGATCAGATAAACAAGACTAATGTCTGCTAATACTAACTAATAGAATTAAAAAGGAGAGAACGATCCAACATGGGAAGGAGGATACACAGCAGACTCATAGAACAGCAAATGTCCTAAACAGCACTCTGCCCTTGGAATAAGCCCTTAAGGCATTTGGATCTGGATAAAAAGCCCATGAGAGTTTCGCAGGCATGGAAAGACAACACACTGTGGCAAAAAAATGACCTAAATGAAAGATCTCTGTGAGTGAGATCCCAGCGGGAAAAACAGGGCATCAAAGAAGGAGGTACCTTTCTTTGAAGGGAGGGGAGAACTTCCACTTTGACTATGGCCTTGTCTAAATAAGATCGGAATTGGTGAACTCAAGAGGCTTCCATAGCCTTGGCAGCTCATGGCAAGAGCCTCGGGTGATTACTGACATCATGATTAAGAGTGTCAACTGTTAAATCAACAATGGGAGTCACTGTGCACCTATTCCAGATGTAGGAGTTCTGTCCTTAATGTGTTGTACTATGCAAATTAACGGTAAAACTACTACTCAAACAGTACTCTATACTTTGTGTGTCTGTGTGGGTGCAGTCTGTTGAAATCTTTACTTAGTATATACTAAGTTGATCTCCTGTATATAAAGATAATTAAAAATGAATCTTAATGAAGAATGTGATGGTAGAGGGAGTGGGAAATGGGATGGTTGCGGGTGGGAGGGAGGTTATGGGGAGAAGAGCCGCTATAATCCAAAAGTTGTGCTTTGGAAATTTATATTTATTATATAGAAGCTGAAAAAACTATTTAAAATTAATAAATAAAGTATGAAAAGGGAAAGAAAAATAAAGGAAGGAAAGGAATATGATTATATTCTAACAATTGCATTGAACATGTTAAAAATAAAAACAAAAATAAATTATGGCTTAAAATGACATATCCTCTATATATGTACAAATTAATAGAGTTAGCTCTATGTTTTTCTCTTCAGTAGGTACAATTTATTACATAGTAGTGGCATACATTACTAATAGGATCATCCCTTTATTGATTGGCCTCTGGATAATTTCTATTAATTAAAAGTGCTATAATTACTATTTTTGTACATATGAAGGGATTTCAAAAGTTCATGGAAAATGGGCATAAAAGATAACAATATAAACTTTGTCAATGTAGCTCCATCAGATTCAAGACACTTTTGTTGGGCAAGCATTTTGGTCCAGCTGGTTAAGCTGCCTCTTGCTACATGGGCAACCCATATTGGAACACTAGTTGAGGTCCTAGGTGCTCTGTTTCTGATCCAGCCACCTGCTAATTTGCCTAAGTAGGCAACAGGTGATGGCTAAACTACTTGGGCCCTTGCCACCATATGGGAGAAGTGTATGGAATTCCTGGCTCCTGGCTTCAGCCTGTCATGGCTGTCATGAATGTCTTCAATACCCCTAGAAACTATTGTCATGACCCTTCCTCTTATGTTTTGACTGGAGCACTTCCACCCCTAAGCGGCCATTGCATTCATTAAACTTTTCTCTATAGTAAAGTCATGCTTCATTTACTATTAAAATTCTTTGAAGCAATGCTTCAGGATCTTTAGCCCACTTATTGAAAATTTCTATTGAAAGGTCTGCTTTTGTCTATAGCTGATTTGGTCAGAACAACTTTGGCACTTAGTGAGTAAGAAGTTTGCTCAACCTAATTTTTCAGTCATAATTGTTTAAGCTGAACCAGGAGACATGAGGATAGTGTTGGCCATTATTTCTGTTATTAACCAATGGTGCTGCTTAATGAGGGTGTAATAAAGATTAATATTTTTCCTACAAAATTCACGTGGATGATCTGCTGCTATGGCCTACATCTTCAACATCATCTTGTCCCTTCTTGGAACAAATTATCCATTAGTAAACTGCTCATTTCTTGGGGGGCATTAGCCACATAAGCTTGTCACAAAGCATGACCAGCCTTCTGCTCAAGCTTCAGCAGTTTATTCTTGCTTCAAGTTTTAATAGAATTCATGTTGCTCTGAAAGGGTTTGTTTCCTAAGTGACATCTTACCCTTCTAAGTTACCTGAACTAGATCCTGTCCAAACATTTAATAACAAATTAGTACTGGATGTTTGTGGTGCAAAAAATTTTTTGAACCCATTTGTGTTTTTTTTTTCATAATACACATTATCATGAACTTTCAGAAGAGCCTCATATATCTTTATACATATAAATATCTTTTATTTCCAGGGCACAGTAGATGTCTGGCTCTGTGTCTTGTTAAAGATTTTAAAGTGTTCATCATTTATTTGATTTTTATAAATCTTTATTATGTAATGGTAGCAATTTATAATTATTAAACATATACCAAGTTTCAAATGTTTGTTAACAACCTTGTAAGTATCTCATTTAATCTTTACAAAATTCCTAATATACTTATTATCTCTATCTTAAAGAAGAAAAACTAAGACACTCTGGTGAGCAAAAGATACATGATTTGTGTTTTCATGGAATTTTGGGGGTGCCAAACACTGCAAATTTACTGATAGGGATCCCTGGATATGGTGGTGGCTAGTGTGAAGGGTGCCATGAGGACAGGGCAGCTGCAGGAGCTCAGTCCAAGAACCCAAATGTCAGGACAGTCAGGGAAGTCTCTCTGAGCAATTCATTCTGCATCCCTTGTTCTGACATCTTTCTTTGACACAGCCTTCAACAGAGGGTCAGATTGGCACAAAGGAAAGGAAATTCAGTCCTCGAAAATAAGAGAAAAAGTTACCGAAGCTCTCTTGTGCCTCAGTTTCCTCATTTGTACAATGTCTGGCATGGGTTAGATGAAATGATAGTGGTTGAGGGGATAGAGAGAAGTAAATGGATTCCAAATACATGAATCACAAGCATGGTGACTTCTTGGCTATCAGATGATTGCTAGCAGTGGCATCCAAACTCACATCTTGGTGGGCATAGTTATGGAGAACATGGTGAGCATTTACTGAGCTGAGAATAAAACTGAAGTCTTAGAGATTTAAGATGGAAGATCAAACATTCAGATGTGTCAAGTCAGAGAATAAGGGAGCCATCTTTATAGACGTCAAGTAGCAATCGGGTAAAGGGGTGAGAACTCAGAGAACAGAACTGGGTTAAAGTTGCTCATTTAGTCATAGATGAAGCTCAAAGTCATAAAAAAGTGGGACTATCTGTCGAGAGGGTGTCAGCATTGCTAGACGGACCAGAACCAAGCCTAGGGATGCCAACTTTTGGAGGTTGGAAATTGGAGGAGGACTCAGCAGTCTTTAAATTAACCAGATAGAGAGGACAGAAAATTAGAAAAAGTCACTTTATTGAAGCTGGGAGAACATATCCAAACCAATAACTTTGCATCCAATCGCATAAGGGATCAAGTAAGATAAAGTCTTTTATTTGTTTGTTAGTTTGCCAACAAAGTCCAAAATCCCTAGGTTGATATTTAAAGTAGCCAACAGTCTTGAGTCTCTTAATATTCTAGATTATGTACAAATTTCTCCTTAAATAAAATTTATATTCCAATACACAAACACAATATTTCATTTATTTGTACCAATCTTCATCTTACTAGCTCTTATGACATGGAACTTCTTAGAGACCTTAACACAAATTCTTACCTGGAACCTGCTGCCTTCAGTTCTGAAGTGCACATAATATGGTCCTCGGCTGTCATCCACCAAGCTCTGGACCTTGCAAAGGAGCTGCAGCACCTGGGTGTCCTGCTCACCCCCATCTGCCAGGTTATTGAAGGCACAGTATCGGCCTCCATTGTTTTGAACCAACTCCATAAGAGACCTCTTGTTTTCAGTGTATTGTTGCAGCAAGTCATCCGTCAGATCATCCTTCCAAGTGAAGACAATAATGATATGCTTCTTGGCTTCAGCACCAAACACCTCCTGGATGCCCTCAATAGTCTCCTCATCCTCTGTTGTATAATGGCCAAGAGGAATTACAAGGAGCAGCGCATGGAGGCTGGGAACAGAGAGCTCCAAGCACTGCTGGATGTTGCGTTGCTTGTCTTCAGCACAAGCCATTGAGGAGAAAAGGTCAGGGGTGTCAATAACCACAACCTGCTTCCCTCTCAGGACCCTACTTTCTCTCTGGCACCTTGTAGTCACTGGTTGATCACTGAACTTGGACTCAAACACCGGTTTACCCAGAATGGTGTTTCCTGTGGCACTTTTCCCACAGCCACGTTTCCCCAGGAGAAGGAGTCGCAGTTCGGGCATCCCACAGTCCTGCTCCAAACTGGTCTCCTGACACATGTTTCTGCTAGTCCTGTTGAGACAAGAAGCAACGCACAAGCATTCAACTCACACAAAATGGATAGGGGAACAGCGAGAAAGCTCATTTTGGGATGGGCATTAAACTATTGCTTAAAGACTCCTTCATTTTGTTAAGGACTCCTACATTTCATATGGGAGTATTTGTTCGAGTCCTGGCAACTCTCCCTCCTAATGCACCAGGGAAGTAGCAGAACATGGTCCAAGTTCCTGGGGTCCTACCATCCACGTGGGAGACTCATGCAGTTCCTGGTTCCAGGCAGCAGCGTGGCCCAGCCCCAGCTGTTCCGTCCGTCTGGGGAGTGAACAAGCAGATTCAGGATTTTCTCTGTGTCACTGTCTCTCTCTGCATGTGCATGTGTGTGTGTGTGTGTGTGTGTGTGTGTGTATGGTGACTAAGCTTTTCAAATAAATAAATAAAAAAGAAAGGGAAAGGAAAGAAAGCTCATTCTTTTTGTCTTCAATCCACAAAGGCCAATTTTTAAAAACTATAGGAACAGATGATTCCTCAGATGTGCAAAATCAGTGTAGGAACACAAAGTAAAGGCAATGTGATTCCCCCTCCTCAAACATGGTAATGCCTTAGATTCACACTATCAAGAAAGGGAGATTGACAAAATGATTGATAAATGACTATGAAGTTTAAGTATAAAATACTAAAGAGACAAAAGAGAATAGTGACATGCAGTTAAACAAAATTAGGAAATTTATGTATGATATGAATGAACATTGAGCAAAGAGATAGGGACCTTGAAAAAGAAACACCAGAGTAATCTATACCACAGATCAAATCAATTCAATAGACACTTAACAGAACATTAACAGCAGAGTAAAGATTCTTTTCATGAGCACATGGAACATTATCTTGGATGGATCATATAATATGTAACAAGACAAGTTACATATTTTTTTAGAAAAAAAAGGATATCATATCAACTGTATTTTATAACCACAATGGGATAGAAATGGAAATTAAAAAAAGAAACTAAAAAATATACAAATGCATGGAAATTGATCAATATCAAAATCAATATACAAAAATCAGTAAATTTTCTCATAATTCCCTTATTAACTCACTGCAAAAGACCCTATAAAAGTAATCCTATTCATTTTAGTTACAAAAATATTTTAAAATAAATTTAAACAATGATGTGAAAAAACTCCACAATGAAAATTACACAACGCTAATGAAAGAAATTGAAGAAGAAACAAGAAACCAGAAAGATCTATCTTGTCATGGATTGGATGAACTAATACTATTAAAATATTCATAATATCCAAAATGATTTATAGATTCAATACACTCCTTTTCAAAATATCCATTATGTTCTTAACATAATCAGGAAAAAACCTTAAAATTCATATGGAAACACAAAGGACCCCGAACAGCTAAAGTAATCTTGAGAGAAAAAAAAAAAAAAGCTGGAGGCGTTACAATACAAGATTTCAAGAGATACTACAGCACTGTTAAAACCCAAACAGGATGATGCTGGCATAAAAACAGACACATAGGCAGTGGAACAGAATAGATATCCCAGAAAAAAGTCCATGCATCTGCAGCTTATTTATCTTTGACAAAGCTGCTGAAAACACTCCTGGAGAAAGGATAGCCTCTTTTATATGTGGTGTCAGGGGAACTGATTTTCTACAGAGAAATTTGAAAGAAGATTCCCTGTCAACCTGTACAAAAATCAATTCAATATGGATCAGAAAGCCAAATTTAAAACCTGAAATTATGATGCTTCTAGGAGAAAACATAGGGAAAATAATTCAAGAACTTGGTATGGCAATGAATTTTTGGACAAGAACCCAAAATTTCAGGCAATAAAAGCAAAAGTAGTCAGGGCTATAGCAAATAAGTAAGTTTCTGCACAAAAAAGGAAACGATCAACAGGGTGAAGAGATAACCAACAGAATGGGAAAAATAATTGAAAACTATGCATCTGATACAGGATTGATATCCTGAATATATAAGGGGCTCAAGAATTTCAACAACAGAACAAAGAATCCAGTTCAGAAATGGACAAAAAGTTCTCAGCAGACATTTTTCAAAAATAACAATTTCAAATGGCCAAGAAGCACATGATGGTGAGGATGGAGAAAGAGAAACCCTATGGCCTGGGCGTTGTGGTGCAGCAGGCTAAGTTGTCACTTGGGATGCCCATATCCCACATTGGAATACGAGTATGAGTGCTGGCTACTCCACTTTTGATCTATCTCCCTGCTAATGTGCCCGATAAGCAGCGGATAATGGCTCAAACACTTGAGTCCCTACCACCTATGTGGGACACCAGAATAGAGTTCTTGGCTCCTGGCTTTGGTCCAGTTCAGTCCTGGCTATTGTTGCCATTTGATGAGTGAATCAGCACAAGGAAGATGTCTCTCTCTCTCCCTCTCCCTCCCCCACAACCCCCTACTTCCCCCTCTCTCCCCTCCCTTCCCCTCTTCCTCTCTCTCTCCCTGCCCTTCAAATAAATAAATTAAACAAACATTTTTTTAAAAAGAAAAGAAAATGTAACTGTAATGCACAATTCGTGGGAATGTAAATTAGTGCAATCATTATGGAGAACAGTAGAGAGGTTCCTCAGAAACCTAAAAACAGGTTGTCATATGACCCAGCTACCCCACTCCTGAAATTTATCTGAAGGAAATGAAATCATGACTTGAAAGAGATACTTGTATTCCCATGCTTATCGCAGCACTGTTTGCAATAGACAAGGTATAGTCAACCTTGAATCACTGATGGATGAATGGATAAAGAAAATGAGGTAAATACACACACTGGAATGATATTCAGCCACAGAAAAGGGTGAAATCCTGATTTTGCAGCAAAATGTGTGAACTAGAGATCATTATGGAAAGTGAGGTAAGCCAGCCAGACACAAATACCACATGTTGTCTTCTCATTTATTCCTGTGAGGGTGTTTTTAAGGGAATATACATTTACATCCAAGGACTTTGAGTACAGCAACTTTCTCTCTGTAGTGTGAGGCAGACTTCATCCAATCTGGTGGAGGCCTGAATCGAGAGAAAGGCTAATCTGCTCTGAGCAAGAAAGGATTCTTCAGCAGGTACCTGCAGACCTCATCTGCAACATTGGCTCTTGCTGGTTCTCCAGCAAATGGCCTTTGACTTGAAATGCAACTCTTCCCTGCATCTCCATGTCTGCTGGCCTCTGCTATCTGATGTTGGACTCACTAAGCCTCCACAATCATGTCAGCCAATATCTTAATCCTCTGCCCCTTCATCTCACCCTTCTTCCCTCTCAAGGGTAGCTCCACCCACAGAAAAATGTAGGCAGACAAGCTTCCAGAGCCCAGCATGAGGGAGGACCTTAATCCTAGCCCCATGGCTTGGTCATCAGGAGGAAGGAAAGGGTTAACTGGTGAGGGGCAGGTTGGCTTAAATGGAGGTGAAAGCAGAAATATCATTTTTGTAAATTATTTTTGTAAATTATTGTAAATAATTTGTAAATTACCCTACAAAATATCAATTTTGTAAATTATAAATGAAATACCAACTGCACAAAGGCTGGGAGAAATTAGAAGACTGAATATGGAAAATCAGCATTCCTGTCTCCTGTTTCCCAGCAGCCCCAACCGCACTCAGTGCCTTTTCTCTGGGGGCTGCTCTGTGGACCCTTGCAAAGTCAGAGGGGTCCTGAGATTGCTTTTCCTGGGCCTGTTCCTGCCTCTTACACCACACCTTCATCTCAGCCCTCCTCCCCCTCCTGGGTGCACAGCAACCCTAGTGGCCCACCTCCTCACACAGCTGCCAGACATGGGCCTCCCCAGGGAGTGTGCTGCACTTGCCACACCTGCTCCCCAGCAGGTTGGAGACACATTTAGCACCAGGAGGAAGCTCTCTCAGACACAGAGGCAGGCTGCCTTTCATATGGCAGCCTTTCGCCAGCCCCACACACGTGCTGTAGCACACACACCAACACGCCATATACATGTCACGCACATACCTGGGTTGCCTGCACTGGTCTCTCACACTCTCAGAACTGCCACATTCCACTGGATTCTGTGTCTCCATTTCTCAGCTGTGTGGAAACCTCTGCTAGGTCCCCTCAGGTAGTACCCAGCTTCTCAGGGCTTAATCCTGCCAATGGGAGGATTTCTGGGTGGTTCAGAGCAGGAAGGGGCTTCTAGAAATTAGTTTCATATCCACAGAGACACAGGTGCTGTCGGAGAGGAAGCTCAGAATGGCAGCGGCTACAAACACGAGGCGCACTCAGGCTCAAGGAGGAGCCAGCATTGTGCAACACACAGTGGCCCAGGGCTGCCCGTCTTTGGGTGTCACCTCACAGCAGAAGGCACAGCCCCTAGCACAGCTGCTGAATGAAGGGCAGGGGAGAGACGCAGGTGGAGGCTCGGCCCGGGGGCTGTGGGAGCCAGGTGCTGCTGCTTGGCTCCAGCAGCAATCTGTACACACAGCCAGGGAAGCAGGTGCTGGTGGGTTCCCCGGAGGCTTGAGCCACGCCAGTTCTAGGGTGGCTCTCAGAGCAGATATTTCTTCCTCTTGCTGGTCCTCTCCACTTCCTCCTTTACCCTAGACTTGGTCGAGAGAGGAAGAAACAGTTTGCTTTCTCCCACAGACTCCCTGGGCTCTGTCAGCGCTGCAGTAGCCTTTATAGCTCCCTTTGCTGAGTCCTCACTTCCCTCCCGGAGGGCGTCCCTAAAATCCGCAGCTTGAGTAGCTCAGAGCCCAGAGGGAGATGAGAGCTTTTCCCCAGCTGGTAAAACATGGCAAGTACTAGAACCTTGCAGCTTTCAAAGATCTCATAAAATGAAGCCCCTTTATGAGATCAGAGTGTCGCAAAGCCCCAGTCTCTACTTTTTGACGGAGTCAAACATGGAACATCGCTTTCTTTCTTTTAACCTGATGTGAAAAACACCTCACATGAAGATTACGGCATTAACGGGTGTAAGGTGTGCAGTGCAGTGGTGCACCAGATTCCTGGACCTAATCCTGCAACACGGACACACCGGATCCACTAGACTCTGACTCCCTTCCCTGTCGGCTTCCCCCTCCTCTCAGCCCCAGGTCACCACCTTTCTGCCTCCTATTGCCGTGATTTTTGATAACTGCAGAGGCTTCACAGAAGGGAACACACAGCACCTGCCCTTGTGTGCCTGGCTGCTTTTGCATATCACAGTGTCCTTGAGGTTGTCCCCATGAGCAAGATCTTTACTTAGGATCCACCACTCCGGAAGCAGTGAACTTGAACTCCTATGGATTTTATAAATGTCTGAGGTGATGGTGAGCTTTCAAAAAGGACCTCTCAATGGGGATGGGGGTCGCTAAACACAGGGGATGCTCAAGGCACAAAATCTCTCAGTTGGCACAACTATGAGTTTTGGGGTGCTGCTCTCTGCCTGTCACCTTCCCCTGGGCTGCTTCATGAGTTCACCGGGAGACCTCCTTTACCTTATTATGACCCTGGAGGAAAACCCTGTTATGCTGTGTGGGTCAAGGTTTTGGGCAAGGTAAAGAAGAGGCCGTGGTGGGGAAAACCAAAAAAGCCTCTCCCATCCTCGACTCCACGTAGTTTCTCAGTAAAAGGAGAACCCATTCTAGGAAGTTTCACTTTCGTTAGCCTCTAAGCTAACGCACGTACAAGCAACTGATTAAAATGATGAGACAAAAAACATTAAGCCAGTTCAGGCAGTTCATTCCAGATGGGTTACTGCCAGACACAGAGGCCACTGTGCTGGCAGAGTTAAAGGCCCCGCAGGATACCATTTCACCCAAAAAGGGAAGACATTAAACTAAAGGAAGCCTTGGGGCTGGCGTGGTGGTGTAGCAGGTGAAGCAGCTACCTGCAGCACCAGCATACCACGTGGTGCTACATCATGTCCTGGCAGCTCCTCATTGATCCAGCTCTCTGCTGATGGCCTGGGAAAGCAGTGCAAGATGATGACACAAGAGCCTGGGCCTGTGAGCCAATGTCAGAGAATCAGAAGAAGCTCTTGGTTCCTTGCTTCAGATTGGCCTAGATCTGGACATTGTGGCCATTTGGGGAATGAACCAGCAGATGGAAGACCTCTTTCTTTGTCTCTCCCTCTCTCTCTCTGTCTGTAACTCTGCTTTTCAAATAAATAAGTAGGTCTTTAAAAAAAAGAGGAAAAAACTCAAGCAATCTTTCTGAATTATTATTTGAGACACAGTGAGCATGTGCCCAACTGCTGATTCATATCTCAGATGTCCACAATGCGTGGGACTGGACCCCATGAAGCTGGGAGCCTGGATTGCAATCCAAGACTTCCATGTGAGTGGCAGGAACCCACGTACTTGAGGCATTACCAGTTGGAGGAGTTGAACTCCAGAATGGAGTGCTGGTGTCCTAACTGAAATCTCGCATCCTTTAATGAAATATTGAGCATTTGAGGGGTACCTTGAGTAAAGTCAAAGCTGCAACTCCTCTGGGCCCTAGTAAATTGATTTTTGCAAAATTGGCCAGTATAAGGCCATCACAAAACACACCAAACCCCAGAGTAAGGGAAAGAGTTTATTGATAGGTTAAATCAGACAGGTCAGAGGGAAGAGGCAAAGAAGGAAAAAGAGGACACGTGTCCAGGAAATGGGTCTTATTCTACTTTTATGAGGGGCGGGTAGGGAATTAGAAATAGTGAATCTCATTAGGGTTAGGGTGGAGCTGACACTGGTGGTTGGACCACGGGCCTTAGGAGTGAAGCCTACTGTGCAACGTGGCTACAAGGTCCAGAGCCCAAGATGGTGTTGGGGGCATAGGTGGCGCCATAGATAAGATGGCACCTTTTACTAACAACCAGTTGCAAAATCTTTCACCTTATTGGCCCTTGGAGAATGGATTTCTGAGTAGGAAGCTGCCTCTCTGATCCTGGATTTGCAATGATCTCAGGAAGGATGAGAGCTCCCTGCCCCTTAGTGGCTTTGTGACTCATGACAGATGCAGCAGGTGCCCACCCAGCAAGGTAGGAGTAAACCCGACTGGAGGAGTTGAACAAGTCAAAGACACAGGGAGGAATCTACTGGAACCAGGCCCAAGGCAGGCAAAGGTGAGCAAAACAATCTCAGCTCAGAGAGAGGGGAAAGAGGCTACCCTTGTGATGGGACACAGTGGCATACAGTGCACTGGAGATGACTGGAGACGTGCTCAGGGTGTCATGGGAGGGAGGGGGAAGTGCTGTAAACCCTACAAAGGGGAAAAACAGCCACAAGGGAAATAAACATAGATCACCCATCTGCTTTGGCAGATACTGCAATAGATAAGGTTGTCAGGCTGCTTAGGGAAGGCACTGTCTAAGAGCTGTGCAGAAAGACGCCTGTAAGGTGATGGGGCGAAAGGCAGTGTGAGAACTGCAAATGCCACAGGCATCTGGTGCTGAGAGCAGCTTGGTGTGTGGGGGAGAATGGGTCAGACTGCGGGCAGGGAATCCAGTGAGGACCTACTGCAGTGGTCCCAGCTAGAGGAGGACGTGCATGAAAACACTCACAGTGGAAATGCCCCGCAGGAAAGGGAACAGATCAACGATCTATTTAGGAAATAGAAGCAATGAAGAGAATTATTAAAAAGAAGAATTCATGGCTTTCACTGCAATTGCTCCAGTTGCCTCCCGGAAGGGGAGGGCTAGCCACAGCACAGTTTTTTTCTTTGGAAAAGTGTTGTTAGACATTGGCCCACTTCAAAATGGAACATTTTTGTGTTTACTACAGTTTGGACAGATGGCAGGAAAATGCCTTGTAAGTAATTTCATGTATTTTGACAATTCTCGAATGGAATTCAGGGTCTTACTCAAACAACCCATGGAGATCAATGTTGTGCTGTTGCAGGTTAAGTTGCTGCCTGCTCACCAGCATCCCATATGGGCACCGGTTTGAGTCCTGGCTGCTCCATTTTTGATCCAGCTCCTTGCTAATGCACTTGGGAAAATAGTGGTAGATGGGCCCCATGGCTTAAGTTCTTGGGCACCTACACCCATGTTGAAGACCCAGAGGATGTTCTTGGCTCCTGGCTTCAGCCTGTACCAGCCCTGGCCATTGCAGCCATCTGGGGAGTGAACCACTGGATGAAAGGGCTCTCTCTCTCTCTCTCTCTGTCTCTCTCCTTATCTGTAACACTGCCTTTCAAATAAATAAATAAACAAATGATCTCAAAAAACCCATGGTTGTAGCAATGACAATAATGTGAAATAATATGCTTTTTCAAAAATTCCTAACTTGAAGAACAGGTGCTGTTTCTGATTTACTTAAAAGGAAGTGATCACACTGGGCTGACTGGGTGCAGGGTGCCCAGAGAACACATCATTTTCTAGTGGCTCTGTGGCAAGAGGGCTTTGTGAGAAGATGAGCACATCACGTGGGGACATTGAACTTGAGGCTTCCAGGGAGGGCAAGCAGAGGTCAAGAAGATCAGGACTGGTTCCTGTTTCCCACCATTACTTGCAACAGCCACCTGCTGGAAATGACTGAAGTTAAACAGGATACAGATAGCTTTAAATTTTCTCAAAAGCATCCAATGACACGGAAAGACAATAGGAAACTACCAGGCCAAAGCAAGAACCCTGAGTGGAGGCAAGAGCAGAGGGTGCCTTTTCCTGAGGGCATTTGACCATCCTGGAAGGTGGAGATCCTTTGCTTTGTGACCTCAGGGAAAGGGGAAGAGCAAGCGAAGCTCCAGTGGGAGACAGCAGAGAAAAAACTGCACTGGGAAAATTCAAAATACATGAGAAAGACTTTGTGTGAGGCTCCACAGGGGGGAAAGGCCAAAACTCAATCTTAAATCAACTCCGCTGAAACACTGGGTGCGAGGGTCATGACACACTGGAGAGGGCTGCTGAAAAGTCCAGCAGTGTGGTAGAGGGAGGATGACCAATGGGATTTGTGCAGCCCAGTGACTTATTCCTGACTGCAAATGTGTTGCTCTGTCACTAGCACACCTGTGCCAGTGAACAGGTGCAGATTAGGCTCCTAACTTCCCAGAGACTGGGAGATGGGGTACTCTGTCCTCGATGCTTATTTCTCAAAGGTGTGACTTCCTTGCCCTTAGAAAGGACAGCCCTGGGCTGTGAAACTGTCAATGGGCTTTCAAAAGACCTACATCTCTGAGGGCCAGAGGAAGAACTGACAAGTTTTCTAAAGTAACTGCTCAAAGCAAAGAGAAGTCAGGGCCTGGAGTCAGGAAGAAGCCTGTCCAAAGCTTGGTCAAACCCAGGGGACCAGGAAGGTCAGCATGGCCAGAGCCTAGCAGGAGGCAGTTCCTCCTCCTCCTCCTACACCCAAGTAAAAGGCTGGGCTCCTGGAGCATTGCCCCCTCGGGGAACTCAAGTAGAAGGGGAACAGCAGTGCCTCCTCTGAGTGGCTCGGGGGACTGAAGTCTTGAACTCAGTTACTGGAAGTGCTGATGAATACTGATCACAGAGAGGGTGTGAACCAATGCAAATCCTCCCTGAAGGTTTTGTTAGGATCTTCACTGTGTGGCTCCACATTGGTGTATAAAGAATTTTAAAGACAGCACCCAGACCACAGCTGAAATTAGCCAAGCACATCTGGTGAATCACAGCCCTCATAAACCCACTGCTCACCAGCACCAGGCCTGGCCTGCACAGCTTGGCCTTGCTGCTTGGAGGCCTACAGAAATGCTGGCTGGCTGACTTCTAAATACATGTTTGTCGTCCTCACCTGGGCTCTAACGCTGGGTGTCAGCACTCTGTGTTCACCTGGACGTTCACTTGCTTTCCCA